ATTTCATGTATCTTAATTCAGAAAATATATTCTAAATTCCACTCATGAGATTGAACTAGACCCTGTTCAAGTAAGAGAAAATTTGTATATATATATAATTAAACCAAACTAACTTGTTATTGATCAAATTAGTTTGTTAAAAGAATTACAAATAAATATAACCAATCTATTATTAATCAACCTATGGATGTAATCCCTTGCTACCTCATAAGTTAACAATGGTGTCATTTAGTGGATATAATTATATAAAGAAGAAAATTTAAAGATGAAGGATGCTGATTTCTTGTAGTTGGCTTTTGATTCACAAGAGATACACTTTATAAATTAAAATTTGAAAATCTTTAAAGCATTTTATCATTCATTACCTTAACATAAATAAACGATTATAGATGGTCGAAATTATTCTAATTGAATCTTGGGTGTTAAATGTAGTTACATTTTGATTCATGGTCCTATGTGAAATAATATATCACAACAAATTGATTTTATTTAGCCTTCAAGTAACATAATGCTTACATTGTATCACCTCATATACTACTTTCATTGAGGACTTTCAGAGAAGTATAATTAATATTTGCTTGATCTGTCACGATAACTAAGATTAAATAATCAAGTGCTTATTGAACTTAATAATCAATTAGACATATAATTGGTAAAATACACATAAGCAAAGTGAAATTACTAATCGTAGATAGGACAAAACTTATATGCAATAATACAAGTATTGTTATGATATTTTTCAATCAGAGTTGAAGTTTCATCTCAGTAATATATACAATTTTTTAATGTTGATGTACTGACTTTTAATACAAATTTTTATTATGCATATTATAAAAGTAAAATTAAACTTTGATCATATAATAAATATTAAAAATAATTGTAGTATTATACCTGAGTTTTGTTTTTATAGATATGAATTAAACAAATGGAGTAAGAATGCTACACAAAATATTTCTTCATAAAAGAAGAATGATAGAAAGTACATAGCCAGATATGTAAATATACAAAATTGCATAATTTAATTAATTTTTTTATAAGAAATTAATGCCTGTAATTTTAAGATATGAAGAAGTCTTATAGCCCACTTATATGTGGCATGTGTCAAAAGAAGCCTTGCAGACAAATTGCAAATGAACAAAAAAAAAAAGGCACATTAAATTTAAAGAAAATCATGTATGAAAGAAAGTTTTGGACGAGTACGTATATGTTATGCTTGAAGAATAATCTTTGCTGCTCAAATGGTTAATCGGAGGCACATTTTGGGATGGCTTCATGGGAAACAACACACGAATGGAGTAATTAATGGTAGCCCAAGAAAAGATACAATCAAATCATATTATAAAAAATAAATACTATGAGAAATTTACATCAGATGGAAAGCAAAATTATCAGACAAAGTTAATTTCCACAACATACTATGAGAAATTAATAAGCAAAAATGTTATTTTACAACAAAATTTTAACAAAGAGAAATGGGATCATGATAACATATATTTAAATTTAGAATATTGCCAATAAGTAAAATTTTATTAAAATATACGTTAAATTCTTAAAACACTAATTGGTATTTTTTTAAAATTTATAATAAATGTATATTGCTAACTTTTTTCTAATAAAAGTTACATCTTTTAACTATTTTCTAAGGACACTCATCAATATATTGAGAAGGAAAAAAAACATTTGAAGAGTTCCAAAAGAGAGAGAGAGAGAGAGAGAGAGAGAGAGAGAGAGAGCACTTGATAACACAGATTCTGCAACCATGGCGACAACATGAAAACCTGTGAGAATGAAAAACCAAATATCAAAGGAAAAACAATTTGTGTGCTTTCTCATCTTAATTTCAATACCAAATTGATTGCAATAAGATAGACACTTGAAAATTTGCTGCTACGCTTTTTGCATAGTGAAAGAGCTCAATATTTATACAACTCCAGAAATAACTCACATATGCTCCAAGAAAAATGTTAAAATAGACATCCTTATTATTAAATACTTTCTTTTAAAACTAAAGTTTAGAATTAGCAAATTACTATAAATTTCAATAAAAAAATGTGTATATAGAGAGAGAGTTAGAGGAGCTAAAAACTCACCAAACATAAACTTATTCAGAACCTGCAATTCGTCCATAATTGAGAAATCAAAGGAAGAAAAAGGGTTTTCAGCAACTTTAATTTCATGCCATCTTTCATTTGTTGCCAAAACATAAAATAAAAAATGAAAAAGAGAGAGAAGAAGAACAGAAAGTGGTCTTGAACTTAAGAGAGGAAGTGATAAAAGAGAACAAGAATAACGAACTGAGTGTGGGAGTGAGTTATATGAAAGAAGAATAAGAAGAAAATAAAGGCTGCGTTTTTTTTTTCTTGGACCACAATTTTAAAAAAAAAATTATATTTTCTTTTATTATTAAATATGTTGAATAGGAAAAATATAATTTTTATCATATATACTTAATAAATCGTATAATTATGATAATTTTTTTATTTGATAAGAGCTATGTCGTTTTTTTCTTTGATATAATGATATGCTATATCACTCAATATGTAAAATTTCATTTTTTAAAGCATAAGGACAGAAAATTGGCAGAGCTTTGGATTGAAATTTTAATATTCATGATGAGGGAGAAAAGACTGGCATGAAAAATAATAAAATATATATATATATATATATATATATTTTATATAAATTTAGACATTCTCAGTCGGATTATAATATATAAGAAATAGAATTCTGAAAGACAAATTTTATCTTTATAAGAAATATTCCTTTACTTCTGGATATAATAAAAAAAATTCTTATTAAAAATACTTATATAATAAATAGAATATTGAAAGAAATTATCCTTAAATTAAAATGATATTAGAAGATGAGTGAGATATCGTTTTCATAAAATGTAGATTCTGAAGGGAGCACGTGGCAACGAAGACTGTGACAGTGACTCCTTTCACAATCAGCCTCACGTGAAGGCCATCTCTCCTTTCATGCCTTTGCTTCTCACTCATAACATCGTATATTCATTCATGCCCCAATAAAAACAATTACGTGCTGTCCATTTTTCGATTTTTAATATTATTTTTGCAGAAAAATATAATATTACTAAATACTATGTCAATATACGAATAATAACAATGCAAAATTTACTCTCTTTTTGTTATGTCATGTAAACTTGAGAAACATATTAGCAAGTTCTATTATATATGTGTGGCTAAACTTATGGAAGATATTATCAAATTAATGGTTTGTTTAAATGAGATCAACATAAAGAAAAACTTTATTTTTTTAACTTTTTATTTAATTCAAATTTAAATTTTTATCTCTCCCCTTATTTTTTTTTCTAAAATAAAATAAAAGGTGAGTAATGAGAAACAAATTACTTTGCTTGTCTTATTATAAGGACAAACTTTTATACAAGATCTTAAGTGTTTTTTATTAAAATAAAATTTTCACTTGATTAGCTAAAATCTAATTCTAGAATAAGTAAAAAAATATTGGATTTAAAATTGATCTTATTTGAAATATTGAGTATATAATTTACAGCTAGTAAATGCAATCTGAGTCGAAAAAAGTACAACAACTGTTGGCATATTCATTGGCTGCGGGATTCTCTTTCGTTCAGTCAAACTTGTCTTTCACTTACACATAGACATGTAATTATTGAATGTGTTATTTGTCTTTTTTGCTTCTTACATTCGCATTCGACGGGTAACAGATTCTTCTGCCAGAAATATTCATTCCCCTCCAAGATTTCCAACCTTTGATGTAAGTGGGGAAATACACAACTTGAAAACTTTTTAAACTTCAATTCTAAAGCTATTTCCACACATCTACTTATTTAATTCACATGTGTTTATGCATTTATTTTTTAGTTTTAACATATTAATGTAAGCTAAATTATGTCCTATATTCAATATAGTCATGCATAGACAAAGAATATAGAACGATCGAGGTGTGTTTATAATTAATAATTTAGTAATTAAGCATATTTTTCTCATCTAATGTTAATTTTTTTTCTTATAATCGGAAAATTTTGGGAGCAACTGCTTATGTTTCCTATATATATAAAGCTAGAATGGAACACAGGTTCATCAATTACGTTTAAAAATATATTTATTGTTTGTTATATGGTAATGAATCCTATACATATTCAAAGTGACCAAAAAATATTATTATTATATATATGTATGCTGCTTAATTTTATAATTTTCTTAATAATTAATTATTCTAAAATTTAATTCCTAAAATTGCTCACATTTTTTGGACGTGCTGATTCCTGAGAAAACATATATAGACACGTGATGAATTAAGTCCCTCACCTTTTGAGATGTGTTAATCCATGGGAAGTTGGGAACAGGCAGAGAGACAAGAAGTGCTTATCAAAATCACATCCTCTTTCTGTTTCCCTGAACCAATCAAACCATGTCTTGTATCACACACACTTAACCTTTGTGCTGAATTGGCCTTTCCACACTTAGGGAACGAATATTGTACTAGAATGATGACACGTGACACAGTGTTTAAAAAACATAAGATGAGTCTCCTTTTTCTCTCTCTCTAAAACTTAAATTAATAGAAGCCACTCAAAACTTCATAAAATAAATAAATATAAGCCACTTAAAATAGTAAACTCCCAAGTACGTATGTATAGTAGACAAAACATAGAGGGGAAACTAAGAAATGGGAAATCCATGGAATGCAGAAATGTTATTGGAAATCAAAACCCAATATGTTACATAAGCACCCCAAGCACACATGTACTAGTCATGCACCCACACCATCAATCATCTAACTTATTTCTTATGAACAGAAAGCAAAATAAAAACTCACTTTATATATAATCTAGAGTTTCCATAAACTCTAGATATATGTAGGATCACACCAACATAAGAAAATAGACTAAAATTTGAGATTAAAAAAAATAAAATAAAAACAACACCGACAAAAAAGAAAGGTGAATGGAGGAGCTACTAGGCAGTGAGTAGCACATCAACAAATTATGTGAAGACTCACTTATCCCGGACATGGAAGACATTGGGGTTCTTGATGACTATATCATACATATTGATGGAGTTGAACTTGGAGAAATCTTTTGGTAGGGAAATTAGGTCAATTGAAGAGTGTTTGTGGAATTGGTACAGGTCAGGGTCTCCATCATAGTACCTCTCCCACCCTAATCCAGTTAAGATTTGCTCAAGAAAAGCATAGGAAGACACAACTTCCCCAGTTGGCAAGTGAACCAACACCTTTTTCTTTGAGCTACTTCCCTTTCCTTGCCTTCCATCTGAGGCCTCAGCTTGAGGGTTTTCCACCAATCGAAACACACCATTCTTGAATACCCAAACCCCAGACATTTTTTTTTTCTTTCAATTTGGGTTTGTAGAATTTTGAGGTTGTTCAAATTTGAAATTTTGGGTAGGTATAACAAGAGAGAGGGGATTTGGAAGAGGTTTTTGCCTTTGGTTGGTGTTGTTGAGGAATGCAAGGATGTGAGGGTATATATATGTGTCAAAAGATGATGAGGCCAAATAAAACAAGAGGAAAATACTCTTGGGAGTGGAAGAGTTAAAAGTTGGGTTATGATATAGGCTTGTTCGGCTTTGGCACAGAATCTAGATTTGTGGGGCCTAACGTTTTAATAAAATGTGATTGCATATGGGTGACCCTAGGGCACAGGAACTAGCCGTGGGGTTTCAGTTTGGAAGAATCTCTTTGGTTTAATTTGATGAATGCTTTGTTTTATTTTTTTTAATATATATATATACCCTTTTATTATTATTATTATTATTATTATTATTATTCGAAATTCCCAATTTATTTAACAAATTGATGAAACGGTATCTATAACAATTACAAAGTCAATTGAAGAAAAGATTTGCTCCCACGTAGATCACGAGAGTCCACGTGAACGTAGTGAGGATTCCTTTACATGTTGTTGGGGACTGTTTAGCTGAAAGGAGCAGCTGTTCTTGTTCATGTTTGGTACTCATCATTGGGAATAATTGGACTCCTTAAAGCCAATTTTAGGCACTTTTGTGTAGTCTAATATGTTGGGTTTGGTTTGCCTCTTAGAAAAAACCTATTTTTCAATATATATTAATTAAATATCCTAAATCCTTGTCCACATATATAGTTAGATTTTTAATTTGTCTCCTAATACATATTGATGCATGCTTTTCCATTTGCCTAATTTTCTCAATGATTTCACCATCACTCAAATAGATTGATTATAAGAATCAATATGTATGATTAATTAAAAATTTGAACTCATTATAAATAGAGTGTGTATACACACACATACAGAGTTAGGTCACATTGAATATATTAACAATTATTCTGTAGGTTAGTAGAGCATCGATTTGGAAAAATGAAGGGCATCAATTGGGGCACATCACTCATTGGATCTTCCTTGTCATAAACTTTACACATTCTCTAGTTTATGTAGAAAGATGAAACAGTTTGAATTGTTAAGTAGGGAGCTATTGAATTATCTCCTAAGCTTTGCGTAAAGCCGATTTGATGCCCAAATACAAGAACAAATGTATCTTTTTGTGTGTACGAATGCGTATGAAGCCCGACAAGGACAATTACATATATAATCACGTCTTATTAATTATTCTTTCTGAAGCAAAGAACTTAATTAGATTAACAATAGGAATCTACGTAAAGATTATATACGTACACATACATATGTATAAATTTATGATTATTTTTATTACTGTCAATTATTATTATTTAACATATAAAAATGGATCAATTATTTGTTACCATTTATACTTTATAGTTTATTGAGGTAAAAAAGTGGGAAAAAAATGTAAAAAAGTGTTTTACATATTCCCCCCCCCCCCCCTCATTAGGAGGATGATAAAGGAATGATATAGAGAAGGGAAAACTTGTTGAAATGGCATATTCACTTATCTACCTATCAATCATTACATTAACAAATGTAAAAAAAACTAATATGATTACCTTTTTTTTTTTCTTGCGCACTACTTTTCATTCCCAATCAAATAAGGGAAAATGAAATTGACTGCTTGTTCTATCTCCTTTTATTGCTCATCTAAATAATAAAGGAAAAAATTTGATTGTTTACATCTTTTATTTTTATAAATAATTCTACAAATATGACATTAATTTCATTTTGAATGATTTGTGAAAAAAAAATTAATTTTTTCCATTTTAATACAATTTTTTTAAAAAAAGAAGAAGAAGAAAAGACGATATTTAAAAAAATATTTGTAAAAAAAATAAAAAAATTCTAACTTATCACGTTCTACACTTTTTTTTTTTGTTATACTTCTTTCCTCTTCTTTTATCTCCACATCCAATATTAATGAAGATCTTTTGTTCTATGAAGTAAAGAATCTATGAATGACAGCTAATAGTTAGCTATGTTCCTGCTCTTTATTATTCTTTCAAAGGTTGGAGTTTCCTTTCCTAACATTCTCTGTCCAGATTCTTCATCCAAACCATATATTAATGTGCAACATTTTCCACGTCTTCTTTATTTTATTTTATTATTTTATCGTTTTAGCACTACAAAAGCCAAAAGGCACTCATAATAAAGGTCAAAATTAATTTATTAGTTAATTTGTTTAGTGACCAGAATTCGGATTAATATATTTTAAAATTATCAATTCCGTGCGAAGAAGAGATAAGAAAATACTCAAAATAGCATGTATTTCGTTTTTCTTTTTTGAAAAATATTCACCTAGATGATGAGAATTAGCTAAAAACATTACATAGGCATTGATCAGCCACTAAGAAGATGTACATGAATTCTTTTCAACTTTTTTTCTCCTTCATTATTTTTTTCTTGTTAAACCTTGTTATTACTTTTGGTTTTCCTTGTGTGGTCCCTGATTTGCTAGCCATAATTAGTAGATGATTGCATTATCCATAGTGTTTTCAATCACTACTCTAACTTCATATAAAATAGCCCTTGAATTTGAAAGTCACTTCAGAAATGATTGGGCCTTTAAAAAGCCCCTCAATTTTTTAAGGACCACAAGAGTCTCAGTTATCATTATCATTGTCCTATAATTATACCTCCCAATTTTGCTACCAAAGGCAACATAATTCTTTCTTGTTGCTTAAAATTGCTTAGTTACCCATGTGGCATCACATGGGCCTTGTAGGGTTCATGGTCCTCCACTGAAACTCAAAAATCTGTCAACTTACACAACACTACTAAAACAGTGCCCTAGGATGTTTGTTCTACATAAAATATTTTACAATTTTTCTAATAAATATATAAAGTATTCACCAAGTAAAAGTGTTACAAAACGTGTTGTTATATACAATCAAAACAAATATTTGACTATGGCTTTTTTATTCTTTGACAAATGAAATATACAGATAATATATATTTTTAGTGTGTGTGTATATATATATCATTACAAATATCTTTATTCGAAGGCTAATCAATTATGGGCCAACAGTGTGCTAATCACCATGATTTAGTAATGTTAGTTATTGTTAGCATGTATTTTGAAAAGCATTAAGATTTGAGAAGGGACTTGTTAAGATGAGATTTAGTATCATTTTTTTTACTAAAAGATCTTTGATGGGATTAACGTTTTTATGTATTTAAAAAGTGTTTACATTCAAATAAGCTATACTGAAGATTATGAATAAAGTTTAATTTAGACTCAAATAACTTATGGTTGAGACAATTAAGAAGTTCAAGATTTTAGGACAAAAATAAAAACAAAATTGATTCTTAAACTCAAGAAGCAAAGTGGAAAGAAGACAACACATATGAAATGAAATCACTTGTTTTATATATTTATTTATTATCAAGACTATCCAATTAAAACGTGATACTTGATTAAAAAGGTTAATTTTGTTTGGTTAAAAGTATTATTTTTAAAAGAGGGCAAGGAATTAAGAAAACATGAAAGAGGAAGACATATATGTACCCTAAGCAATCCATCAAAATAAGTATGGCTCCACATCCTCCATGAATGCTCATTTTTAGTAAATATATTCAAGAGTGTAATATAAATTATTCTTGCTCAAATCGCAAACCTCATGCATTATGTCATGGTTTGAATATTAAAATCTGGGGGTGGCAGTGTCAGGTGGGGATGTTGGGTTTATCCACATGAATGTTTAATGCACATGTATGCTCAATCAACATCATAGATAGACTTGACTTGTGTCAATGGTGGTCCTTAACTTTGAAGTGATGAATTGGAGTGGCAAAGCAAAACTTGTGCATGCCTTTGGGCATCCAATGGGTCAGTGTACATTGCTGCATGCCCCTCTTTATACAAGCAATAAAGTCCTTTGATAAAGACTAGTAAGAGAGGCTAGTATGAAATTGGCAAGTTATAGGTGGTGCCAAACCTACCTTCTATATATATCCCTATTTATGTTCATAGCATGCAGCAGACACAATGCACACCTATGCTCATGTGGACACGTGCACAGCATCGATTCCCCATCGTGTATGAAGGAAATTTTAGTGAAGATGACACTGGTCCTTACTCCTTTGCCCTAATTCAAAATGCACTAGTGTGTGAAAATATTATTTTTCAAAAGGATTTTTCAGAAGGATGACAAAATATTTCTTTAAAATAAATTGAGCTAAACGTCTATTAAGTATAAAGAATAATGATCATTTGACATTTGTTGGGATGTACACATTCCAAATGAGAAAATATAGAAATAAAAAAAGAGAAAATGATGAATATGGCAAATAATTTGATCAAATTAGAAAAGAAAAATAGTATAAGTGACTTCAGAATTGAAATAGAAAAACTAACATCCCCTCTACTTTTTCTTAATTAATTAACAGCCAAAATATAAAGAAGTCAGAAATTTCATGTTACTACATTAACCAATCAATGAGGAGTTGATCTAACTTGATTTTGTTACGTGTCCAAATAGGGCCTCCAAGCATGATTTCATATGTACAGTTGTCTGAATTTTGGAGGACAATCCAGCTCAGCAAGCTTTATATTCTAATTCTTATTACTTTTTAGAGAAAGAAACTTTTCATTTAATTAAGAAAACACGGTGGGACAATCCCTAAATTCCTTGAGGCACCTACAAACTTTATAAAAAATGAGAATCATCAAAGGGAAAGTAGCCTCCACTAGAATGTTGCACATATATTCTCATTTCTTTTCTAACCCACAAACTGTAAAAGCTTGAAAGCTATGTATCACATAGGAAAGCCTAGCTAGCTACTTCGCTTAATATGCAGCCCTTGAACTAGTCAGGTCTCTACACATTTTGGCTTCTCAAACTTTCATTAACATCCCTTTCAAGAAATATCAACACCAGCTGGATGCATCTAAATCCTTGCTTGAATTTGACAATATGCCAACTAATTTAGTGTTCTTGA